ATACTTTTTATGAAGATGGGTTAGAAGTAAAGAAAAAAATAAGGGAGAAGATTGAGTTGTATAAAAGTGGTAAGAAGTATGTTTAGTATTAGTACAGAGCAAACCACAGAGACTGTAAATGGAAGATAAACTAATAAATTTGTCTATAAGCCATGGAGAAATAATCTTGACAAGATTTAATTTATCTGTATTGAGGATTAATATTAAATAGCAAGTCTGTTAAACAATTTATACAGTCAAACCTCTTTATACAAATACGAGTGGCACCGGCCATTTTTATCAGTATAACCAGTTTATCGGTGTAATCAGAGGCCCTCTTTATAACAGTACTGTACAATCTAAAAAATATCGGTATAAACGAAAAAGACACTGGCTCAACAGCCGTGCAAATAATTTCATTAAGAGAAGGAATTAAAAAGGAAGCAATACATTTAAAAAAAAAATATAAAAAGGATATTCCAGCAGAAAGAGCCTTGAAAAAAAAAAACTCGAGAGGTTTGACTGTAATAAAGATGTGTCTGTTATGTTCTGTATATACTAGCATTAGTGTGGGAGAGTTGTTGATGTTCTAAATTTGACTAGAAGAGCATCCAATATAAATTATCATTATTGATTATCACTCCTTGACAAAAGTTTCAACCATCTAATCTTCGTTGTGTGAATGAAGAAGCTTGTGTGTGACTGTCATATCCAGCGTCTTCACTTTTGCTTTGAAAACTGCCCATATCCACCAGCACCGATGTATATCATGTCGATAAAGTCTTCGGGAGCATAAATCGGATGCTTCCATCTTCAATGTTCTTTCTTAACCATTCCTTATCAGAGAAAACCGAGACCATGTTGTTGCTGTTTATAGTTGGCTGCAGAGCAATGTGAGACAAATGACACGTGATAAACATTACGTTTGTTTGTTGTAAGGTGAGGAGGGGACAATCTCCATCTTAATATGTATATTCGATTTGGAAGGCTAAATTTGTTTATGCATATAGGATGGCGTTGCGCTGAAAGAGCATCAAGTTAAATTCAGAAGTGATTACGTTGTCTCACAATTATTTGAGTACCGTTGTGAGAATGCTTTACAGTCAAATTTCTTATACCGATACGAGTAGCAATGCCATCTCTATCGGTATAACCAGCTTATCGGTATAACCAGTTTATCGGTATAATCGGAGGCTTGTTTAATAGAAAGACTGATTCGGATAACAAAGTTTTATCGCTATAAAAAGATTTGACTGTACATTTTTCAGAAAGCGTGTCGAGCACCAAATTAAATTTTTGTATGTATGTGTTAGAGAATATACTGAACTATACATGCATATTTTACGATCACACTTTGCTTGTTAATTGGCGATTAACGATTAGATGTTGTTATCCTAATTATATAAAAAATAATTTTTGAATATAGATTATTTCCTATTGTCAACAAAAGTATTACAGAAACTGGATTCGTCACGGACTGATTGTGTGATTATTATGCAATTAGAAAAGGGAAACATAACATAAAAATGTCTGATAAGATAATAGCGTATGATAGAAAATACGTATGTCAAACTTATCTTTCCGTTGTTTGCAGTATACAAACCGACGTAGGATAGAATTTATTACAACAAGCAAAGTGTCAAGCTATTATAAAAGCCAATCCAAATCGACTGTTAAGTACGTACGTATGTACGGACCAATATTTGATAATAAGCAATCGTTTACTATCTTCATAAAGGCTTTAGGAAGAGGCTGGCGTTAAACTTCTTGCGTACGAAGACCACTTGCAAACGTTACTTGGAGACATAAATAATATTTGGTAATATTAGTGCGAATAATATTTAAAAATTTGTCAATACCTTGACACAAAAATAACGTCGTTGTCTTTTTCATCTGTTAAACCCAGTAATAAAAGGTACTTATATAAAGCTATTTTATAACAAGATTTTAGCTTTTTAGTCTTAGTTGATAAAAGCAACTTTAAAGTCTACAAAAATATCGAAGTTACATCTATACAGTCAAGGTGTTTGTCAAAAACAAAAGAAAAAAGACTTAATGAGGAGGGCATTATATTGCGTAATATAATAAACACATGCGGGCTAACAGCCGGAATTGCTTAAAATTTTCTTAACCTATTAACGTAAGGTAACTATGTTCATTAAGTATAATTAAACGTGACAATTTTCAACAGACTGGCATTGATGAAGTTTTTCCGCTTATATTGCTATTTTACTTTAACCTGAAAATGTTATTATTGCGTAACAGTTTTCAGTCGGTGAATAGTAAAGTATACTATTAATATACAAGACACTATTACCACTTGTACTTGATATGCATACGTAAATATTACATCGACTGTTATTTTTATTTTATAATGCAAGACAGTTGCAGTTACGACCCTGCCAACTACATTATTTTACCGTTTTTTACTTTAGTAACATACAACGCTTAATAAATGACTATCGAATGCGTGGTTCCAATTTGTGCGTGAGTTTATCAACATTGGTAGTAGGCTTGAAATTTTTCTTATCCAATGCATTTATAAACCAAACAACGAAAAGTATTTATCTCTGGATGTAACCATCCATTTAAATATCAGACATAGAAGCAACTGAATTGATATCATAACTGCGTGTATTTTTCTGTTCCAGCGGGTAAGTGCTTTCTAGAATATTTGCAAGACATGATGAGGGTCTTACATTATTATGATAGATGCTATTCCAAATGTCAGTGTTATCCTTTCCCGTCTCTTTAAACAGTATGTTATCGGATCCATGAATCGTCTGGACGCATGTCAGGATCAGCATTACAAACATCTCGCGTACCCCTATGGTGAATCGGGTATTGGTAGCTGCAGTCCACTCACAATATTGCATACTAGATCTCCATCATATCTCGTTATCTCTGATAATGTTAGAAAAACATATGTCTGGTGCAATAAAGGGTAAAACGCTTTGGATGGGTGGATTAGACCGACAAAGATCGCATACAAAGGTTTGCTTTAAATGTTTTCGCCAATAGATTATAATAAACTAACCGCATTATGAATTTTACGTAGACGATATGCGGTATCTCTCAAACTTTGTAATTTTTTTCTGGAGTCTTTCAAAGTTGCGCACATAAATCGTGTGCATTATGTCCCTACTTCAATTTATATCATTTATCCTCCAACGCATGTTTCCGAAATAACTTGGCATATCCCGCCTTAAGACAATTGCATAATCATGGTTTGGCCGTATTAACTACGTTTCAAACCTCCGCATATAATTTTACATTGTATTAATAAAAATTGCAAAACCACCAAAGAATTAACAATTTATGAAAAAAGGAAAAAAAGCATGGAAAAAAAAGTAAAAAAAAAGTATCTAAAGCTCATATGCTAATTGTAAGAAGCACCGTCCTATCCGAAATTGATATTTCCATTTTAACAATTCCAGTTGGCTGCGTCCAACAACTTAAAAATAAGTGAGTGCTTAGCCAGCGTTATTCTCGTTCCAACGGAATACAAGTAACTCACACGACTATAATATTGTCATAGGCTAATTTGGTTATGTAACTCACAATTCAGTCACATATTCATTTGTAAGTAAACGAACAAGCGATTGGAAAATAGCGTATAAAATGATTGTTAAATCTAACAGATCATTCATAAAAACGGTTTAATAGTAATAAATTTAAGTATTGCAAGACTACTTATGTTTGTTATATTGTTAAAATATCCAACTTTTGCATGACTTAAATTAGCGTAGCGTGCTTAACTATTATAGTAATTCGTTAAACGGTTGACTTTTTGCAGCAATGTACTCCAACTAAACGAGTATTTTTTCTGCGGGTTAAACTCACTATGTTAGTCTAGTCGATAATCAGCTGACTGTGGTTCTATTTTTAACAAACACTGTTATGTAAGGGATTTACGGAATCGGGGTTGACAGACGTATTCATTGAGTTGGCATCGTGCAGAGTGTGATTGACAAGTTTCTTATTGACAATATGGCGTGTATGAAATAAGACATTTAATTTCCCTTATCCGGTTTGATGGACAGGGTTTATGCTTAATCTGACAATGAGTAAAAATTTTACCTAGAAGTTTTCTAATAATAGGATAACCCCGTATCAGGTGATTTGACGTCACTGATCGGTGTAACTTACTCCGCTTCAAGTAGCATTGCCTGTGTAATAGTAATTTCTTCACTGTTTGTCGGAATGAGGTTAAGGCTGTGTGTGGCTGTGTGCTAATATTAACAATTTCACTCATTTCTTTTCAATAGAGAACTTGTAACTTATTTTTAGCGTCTCTATTTTTACAATCGTATTTATTAAATCTTTGTTTATATTTAATATACAATTTACGGCTTAGTCCGATCAACTATCCGACAATCTCTGGTTGCGCAGATGGGGAACTTAAAAAATAGCTATTAACTTTAAATATTTCCTATTACTATACACGCTCAATTTATTATAAAAGGAGGGCCTCCTATCCTTCGTAATCTATATTCAGCTCTCATAAATTTCGAGAATAACACACTTGGTTTATATTTCAGCATTATCACAAGCATAAAATGAAGTTTCAATCAATTATCGTATTCATAATCGTCAGTCTGGCTTTTGGAAGCCATGTTCAAGCATTATGCGAAATCTGTAAGTCCGCATGGTTTACTAGGCGTTCGTGTATTTAGACAACTATTATGCACACTAATTTTTACTCTCTTTGCTAGTTCTCAAAGGCACTTATAAACATCAAACTGGTGGACAGTCTGGTTGCTTCGGAGCTGATTTCAATGACCCTATAAGTGTTGCCAGTGTTAGCATACCTCGCACTAGCTACAAATTTTATTCTGGCTATAACTGTAAAGGATCGATTCTTGCTACTGGCATTGACACCACTAACTTTGATCCTCGCATACAATTCAAGTCGGTCCGATTATATTGCCCTTAAATGTTTTAACGTTATTTCCTTGTACAATTTTGGGAGTACAAAAAGAACATTATCAGCTTATATTAGCACATTTTGATTGTACGAATGTTTTTTAATTAAATTAATGGGTTACTCAATATTAATAAAGATAATCAAATTAATCGGCCAAGAAATTAAGTTTAGACGCCTTAACCTATACTAAATCTATACAGATCCGGAAATTTTTTGACGTTAGTTTAAATAATTACTTCCAAACTAATGCAATATTGATATAAGTTGTCAAATATGAAAGACGTATTTGTAAGACAATAAGGGCAGAAACTTTCGACACCTGAATTAATTCCATTATGCAAACTAAAAACTCTCCACCGATACTTAACTGAATGTCTAAACAAGTTCACTTAACTCGGTATATTTTTAGTTCACAAATTGCGATTACAAATAGTAGGATTTAACTTCCAATGAGAAAGCCGTTATCTAACGAAGCTTAGAAGTCTACACAATAATGAACACTATTTTAGTGCAACAAATGTCAATCACGTGCAATTGGTCACACTAACTTTACAGAAGTGAAGGAGTTTATCGCAATAACGTTAACAAAACATGGCCTCAAGTCACTCCGATAAAGAATGGTTAAGAAAAAATATCGAAGACCGAAACATCCGGTTTTATTCTTTCGATGACTTTATTGACTCAATATACATTGGTGGCGGAGGATATGGAGTAGTTTTCAAAGCGAAGATGAAGACACTTGGTAGAACGGTGGCATACAAATTCCTGCATTCAGACAATGAAGATGAGATGATTGAAAACTTTGTCAAGGAGGTTGGTAATTATAATGTCATTTATATTTTGATTATTGCTGTCTTATTTAAACTACCTAAATGATACTTTTAGCTTAAAATCCATCGCCACGTTGATGATCATCCCAACATAATCCGATTTCTCGGAGTGAGCAGAGGTAGGCATTGAGTAATCGCACGCACGCTATA